AACGGGTCGAGAAAGGGTTCAGCGTTGCCAAGAAAGGCCAGGATTCAGACTTTCACATACAACTTTTAAATAAATTAATGAGAAAAGCACCAGTAACGCACGCGTACCACCTATCCTGGTGTGTGCCAGGCCGTCATCACTGTGGAGCTCAGATCCAGCAGATTTCAGGACAAAATTAATGAACTATGAGGATTCGTCCCCAAAATACGTGCTTGGGAACCCTGCGCGAGCAGTGTATGCCTGCGCTGTTGCTACAAGTGTCAAGGGAGGAATAATGTTCTCTTTCCAGTTCATAAGAAGTTTCCCCAAACCTTAGCATTTCTAGTGACTACAGTTTATATATATTTTTTCTTCCATTTGGAGCGCCAGGTTGAAATGTCTTTAAACGAAGAGCGCTGGGGTGGCTCCCTCCCGGATTTACAGGGAGCCAGAGCTCCAGGTCTGTCTGGGCTCTGTGCTCTGCTGCTCCGGCGCTGCTTTGCCCAGGGCCTGCCACATTGTGTCCTGTAAGATCCTTGTCACATTAATACATTAAACAACAGCAAAGTGGATTTAGAAAAAAAAAAATTGAGCACAGTCATCTAGGAATGGTTCACGATAGCTTCACACAGCAACATGTCATAACTTATGGATCGACATACCCCAAAATGTAGAGAGACCTTAAGTACCCCCATAGAAAAAAAATAGAAAAATATATTTTATATCTGCTGGTTTTGTTTTAAAAAAAATGTTCAGATCGGATACTAAATGAATCAGATACTAAAATAATTGTGCTAAGATAATTGGACACGGAGAAGTAGAGGTTTCCAGAGTCTGAAGGGTGGAAAAAAAGGACAGGTTTAATTACACAGATGCTCTTCTGGGGCAGTGTGCTGCCGTGGGGTCTTGGCCTACTGAGGGTGCATCAGTGCCTGAGGGAGCTGCCCAGCCCTACATGGGAGCTCATCTCCTGGAGCTGCTTTTGCCTCCTTGCTGGCAAATGCCAAAAAAAAATAAAATTATAATAGTGGAGAAATTCAGGTTTTCACCAATATTACTGAAAAACCAGTGAAGTTTCTTTCATTCCATCATTGCTCTGAACTGCTGTATGTATTTAGAGAGCTCATCGGTTCGGTTCTGCAGTTCCCTCGTTGCGTCTGCGTTTGGATACTGGATTGCAGCGTTTTTGGTGGCGAGCGCCAGGTTCTTGAGCAGGCTGCAAAATCGGCTGCTGCTGTGCAGAATGTCATTGCGAGCGTCTTTTTCTTGAGTTTCCTGGCAGAGAGAATCCACTAACTTCTGTCCCACCATAATGATCAGTTTGCTGTGCGAGATGAAGATTTCAGGGGGCTGGTTATTGCTGAGGCTGTCAGTGAAGACACCAATTGCCTTGCTTAGAGCTCCAAAACACAGCCGACGGTGTTCCGAAAGAGGGATTTTCTTCGCAGAGTCCTGCTTGCTATGAATTATATTCCTTTTTGCAGTTGGCAAGACCTAGAAAAAGGTTGAAAAACAACAACAACAAAAGTCTCAGTATGGCAGCACACAGTTTCTTTATTTGTTCTACCCTGTATTCTTCATGTTTCTTCCCTTCAATGGACTTTTATTAGCTAGGAAACTTCAAACTGTCACAGCCCCATTTGCAAATGTTTCTCTTTCCTTAAAGCACTTCTTAAAAAAATAGTATTTTCTCCCAATTACCTTTTCTCTGAACAAGTTTCACTGGTAATACAGTTTTAATAATGGATGGCACCCAAAGTGCGGTAGTTAAACATCAATCTTTTATACAGTGTGGACTTCCAGTTTGCAGATCATGGAGTACTGACTTCATGCGGGTTATGAATGATTGAAAATGTAGAAACACAAGATAGTGAATCCTTAAACCAGTGCTCTGTAGTATATTTTGAAATATCTCCCATCCTTATGTTCATTACATACGAGGAAAATAAGTGTTTTGCACAATTTTTCAGCATTAGTTCAAAGAACTAGCCTTGGAAGTATGATTAAGTTAAAAACAATATTTCCATATATCAATGTATGTGTCCTAACCCAAGTTATTTTGAATTTTAGCAAGCACAGAAATAGGGGACAAGAAGTCCTTATAAGTAATACTTTTCAAAATCAAGAATACCTTTGTTTTTGAATCTGTATTCTTCTTTGCTACCTCTGTAGTTGAACGCATTTTCTGTGCCTGTTATAAATCAAAATGCAAACAAGTTGAAATGGTTTACATAAAGTATTTGGGTTTACCTTATTTCAAGGAAAATGTCTGCTTGCTTTGTTGCTTTATGTGCTACAGCAATATGCAGCCTATATGGACTACAATGATAATTTCATTAGAAGTAAGTGTATTTTCTTCTACTAAATTACAGTGTGTGATCCTGTTCCCTACAAAACTATTTCTCTGACTCATGCCAATTTAGAAAGTCAAGATTTCCTGTATCATGGTGGCAGAATCAACACACAGAATACATTAGCAAGAATAGAACTACTAGTCTGAAGAGAGGAAATATACTGCATAGACCCCAAGTAGAAGCTATGTACCAAATGAATTTAAATGGTTGAGCTAAAATGTTTTCTGGGGGCTGCCTGGGTGACTCCAGTTCTCTCTAATTACTGATCATGGCACCTGCACCCTCTAGGACTCCAATAACATCCTGAGTTCCTACCGAGTCTGGAAAAAGAAGCTTGCACTAATACAAAGTGAAAACAGTTAAAGTAGCCTAATACCCGCCAACAGTCAAGCAGAGTATAGGTGTTCCAGTCATGTTGTACGAACCTGTAGCTGGACATAATCGCAGTCCTCAATGGCGTTTTCTTTTGGCTTGTCAGGAAACACTTGACTGTGATTTGGTTTATCATTTCTTTGAAGTGAATCCACTTCTGTTCTTCTGGGCAGGGTGATTTGCTTGGCCATTTTATATTCTGTGTTCATTTTTGATGGCTTCATTTCTTGCTCCTTGTCATTCTTTCGGAAGAGAAGCTTTCCATTGGCAATGATGATGGATACGAATCTCTTGATGTCATCTGGAATTGTGCGAGCTACCATAACAAAGCGATCGAGATCGTCTGGGTTGTTCTGAGGTTTCTTCATAACCAACTCCTCTAGCGACCAGTTGCAGTTGTTTAATGCTTCTCTTGTTTCTATTAAGATTTGGAATGAGTTCACAAGAATTTCTAGCTGTTTTTTAATTCGGGTCTGAAGGTTATTATCAGTGACGTAAGAGGCATTTGCCTTTACAACTTGAGCAAAGGCCAAGAATTCTCCCATTGATACTTTTATGTGATCAACTGCTCTATGGATTTCTTCAATGTTTTTCTCCAGGTTTTCTTGTAATCTCCATTTACTGCTCACGAAGATCATTAAACTCGCAACAGAGCTCGATACGCCGTGCTGCAATCTAGTCAGTGTCTCTATGGCCCCCTCGAGGTCTAGTTTGATTTCTTTGCCAGGCTCATCTGATGATGACACAGAAAAGGACTCAGCAGAAGAGCCTGAGGATGTAGAGGTAGTGCTGGTCCTATCCACGCTGGAAAGGGATACTCTGTCCTCGTCTAATTTTACATCTCTTGAGAGCTGTGGAGGGACATGGTATGCTTGGTCTCCAGAACTTTTGTTGTGTTTTCCCGTCTCCTTCCTGCACTGCAAAGCTTTTGGAATATCATAAACATTCCCTTCAGCAGTCCCATTCTCAGCTTTTGGAGTTGAGTGACTTGGGGCTACATCCTGGGTGGCGTTTGGTCGCAAAAGGAGCATGTCCCGTGAAGATGGAACATCGTAGAGAGGGACATCCGGAAACACGGCTTTGTTTTGGGGTGGTGGAACATCGTATAACTGTGGAGTTGCAGCTTTGGCTTCAGTATTTGTCATCAGTGCCCTGTACCTGGCTGGTGGTATATCATACAGCACCGCGTTCTCCAAGGAGTGGCCAAGAGGGCTCTGTTTTATTCCCTTTTTCTCTGGTGATACTGGTATATCATAAATCCATTCTGACTTCCGAGGATTTGGCAAGGTGTTGTAATGGCCCCAGCACTTTTTCTGAGATCCATTTTCTGAAACATCAGGTTCTCTTTTAGGAGGGACATCATATAACTGCAACAGAGCATGCAGGATTATAAGCAGTGTTTATAAACAAGAGAAATGACCGTTCTCAGATAGCTTCAATGAGTTTACCTTTTTACTTGACAGAGGTTTGCTAGGACAGATACAGATCTCATTTAGTGCCTTATGATAAATGCTTGTGCGTAGCAGAAACGTGCGCTGGAAA